AAAACAACAAAATGTATTATCTTAGTTCTGGAGGCCCAAAATCAAAAATCATGGGGTTGACAAGGTCATTTGCTCTTTGAAGGTTCTAGGAGAGAATCCTTCCTTGCCTCTTCCCAGCTCCTGGTCATTGCCAGCAATGCTGGCATTCCTTGGCCTGTAGCTTCATCAGTCCAATCTCTGCCTCTGTCATCAAATGGCGTTCTCCCTGTGTATCTTCACATCCCTTCCTTCTGTGTGTGTCTGTCTCTGTGCCTCACCCCTTCTCACCACTCACAGTGGATGAGGGAGCCTCCCCACTTCAATATGTCATCTCACCTAATTATATCTACAACAACCTTATTCCCAAATAAGATCACATTCTGAGCTACTGGGAAGGTTATGAATTCTTGGGAGATGCTAATCCCCCCAAGTACAATCACTTTCAGCATAATTATAACACACTCCTAATAGTACGTACTATGAATCAGGCACTGCTTTTTGTGTTTTACACACACTGACTCATTCATTCTTGGGACGACTCAAAGAGGTAGGTATTATTATAATTTCCACCCTACAGATGGGGAAATTGGGCCACAGAGAGGTTATGTAACTTGCCTAAGGTTATATAGCTAATATGTAGTAGAGTGAGGATTTGAACCCAGGTGGGAGCTTCCAGAGTCTGTCCTCTCAATATTATACTGGATTATCTCTCAGAAGACTGGGATGGTCAAGTGCTTTAAAGCTACCTTCTTATAGAGACCAGGAAGCTCATAATAAAAATAGTAACAACCAAAAGTACAATAAGAACAGCTGGGGACTTCCCTGGTGGTCTAGTGGTTAAGACTTCACCTTCCAGTGCAGGGGGTGCAGGTTCAATCCCTGGTCGGGGAGCAAAGATCTCACATGCTTCCTAGCCAAAAAAAAACACAAAACATAAAACAGAAGCAATATTGTAACAAATTCAATAAAGACTTTAAAAATGGTCCACATCAAAAAAAATCTTTAAAAAAATGAAAAGCTAACATGAGAAGTACTTTACAAGTGGAAGGTAGACTCTGTCAATACTCTCATTTTTATAGAGGAAAATACAAAGACCTAGAGACAAACGAACCTGTGTACAAAACAGAAACAGACTCAGACATAGAGAACAGACTTGTGGTTGCCAAGGGGGAGGGGTGTGGGGGAGGGGAGGACTGGGAGTGTGGGATTAGCAGATGCAAACTATTATATACAGGATGGATAAACAACAAGGTCCTACTGTGAAAAAGACTGTCTGTACATATGTACTGAGTCACGTTGCTGTACAGCAGAGATTGGCACAGCATTGTAAATCAACTTCAACAAAAAAAATAATAAAATCAAAAAACCCCAAAAAACAACAAAAAAACCCCCACAAAGACCTAGAGACAATAAGTCAATTGCCCATGGGAACATAGCTAGTAAGCTCTAGAGCAGATTCCTCAATTATGTTCACAATTACTATTTTATGTCGGTGGCCGAATCCTCCCATCCGCCTTGGGAATTGGTAGATATCTTAATATACCACCTGAAATCTCATTTGCAACGGATCTGACTAGACAGGAAGACTGGATTTCTGGAGAAACAAACACGGAGCCCTGATTTGTAGCGTGTGCCAACTTTCACAGTGTACATGCTCTCACCATGGCTGATTTCAAGCCACAGCGTGATGTCAGTGACCCAGACCCGGGAAGAGGTCTAGCACATTCAGCCCTCGTGAGCCTAGCAAGCTGGCTGCCACACCACTGCCCCAGGGATCTCTGGTATAAGGTTGATGTGGGCTCTGGAAAGCAAACAAAGCTCCAAGTCTTCTGGATCAAGACTCAGAGACAAAGATTCCTTTAGCTTTTAGAGGTACAGCCAGGGTGAACAGGGTCAGGGAGGCAATTTCCTGGGCAGGCATGGAATGTGCTTGGTATAATCCCTGAGGTCCATGACACTTATGAGAATCAAGAGGTAATATTTTTACTTAGTATGTAGAAGATGCTTAAATAATTAACAGCTATTAAATTATTATGAGATCATTATAACAGAACCTTGCATTTGCAAGAAACCTTCCCATCATTTATAATGTTTAAGCTTTAGGATATTCTAGACTTCAGGATTAGATGGAGGGCTTTACTCTCACTGGACAGCTGAAGAAACTGAGGCTAAGAGAGGAGAAGCAACTTGCCTAAGGGCATGCAGCAGAGCCAGTCTGGAACCTGGGTCATCCGAACCAAGGCTTGGAACCTGCAAAGCCAACTTTCTGGGAGTTGGTTTGATCCAGGTGAGACCAGGAGCAAGTTTGTCTTGGGAGTGTGTCCCTGCTCTGTGCATGGGTGAAGCTGGGAGTGGGCAGGGGGTGGGCTGGACAAGACCCCCCAGCCTGACTGATGAAGCTGGGCCCCCAGGCCTTCAGGGCATGTGAGGCGTTCCCCAGGCACAAGGATTTCAAGGAAAGAGGTGGGCATTGGGCAATTGCTGATCTGAGAAGCCAAGGTCCCATCAGAGGATCTTTCTGAAAATCTGGAAAATCAAGTCCTGGGTAGAAGTCTACAGGGAGATAAATAAATATTTGTGCTCTGGTCTCTGCCCTCCGCTGCCATCCCACCTAAACATAGCTCCTCATTTTGTTCTAGAGAGGGAAGGTGGTGTGACTGTCATGGAATTTAGGAGGCAAAGAACCTTTTTAGGATTATAAGCATATCAAGAGAAAATTTTTTTTAATTAATTTATTTATTTTTGCCTGCGTTGGGTCTTTGTTGCTGGATGTGCGCTTTCTCTAGTTGCGGCAAGCGGGGGCTACTCTTTGTTGCAGTGTGCCGGCTTCTCATTGCAGTGGCTTCTCTTGTTGCGGAGCACCGGCTCTAAGCGCATGGGCTTCAGTAGTTGTGGCACGTGGGCTCAGTAGTTGTGGCTCGTGGGCTCTAGAGCACAGGCTCAGTAGCTGTGGTGCACGGACTTAGTTGCTCCGCGACATGTGGGATCCTCCTGGACCAGGGCTCAAACCTGTGTGCCCTTCATTGGCAGGCGGATTCCTAACCACTGCACCACCAGGCAAGCCCAAGAGAAACTTTTTAACCCAATCTACACCTCCAGTCTCTCATTTCCTGCCTCCCATCTACCGACATAGCAATATTGTTCAATTTTTGTAACTTTTTATTTTGAAAAGATTACAGACTCACAGGAAGTTGTAAGTATAGTACATAGAGTAGTCCCATGAACCCCTTCACCCAGCTTCCCCCAATGTGATATCTTGTGTAACTAGTACAATATTGAAACCAGAAAATTGACATTGATACAATACTGTTAACTAGACTACCGACCTAGTTCAGTTTTTACCAGTTTTTATATGCACGCCTGTGTGTTGGGGGAAGGAGGTGTAGTCCACTGCGATTTGATCCCTCATATAGATTCACATAACCACCACCAAATAGGAGCCAGACCCTTTCCTCACCACAAAGAAACGCCCTCATGCTGTCCTTTATAGACTCACCCCCACCCACTCTTGTTCCTGTCCCCTGGCAACCACCCATCTGTTCTCCATCTCTGTAGTTTTGTCATTTTGTGCATGTCACATGAATGGAATTATACAGTATGAAATCTTTGGAGATTGCCTTTTTTCACTAAGCATAATGCCCTTACCCATGTTGTTACACGTTATGGGTTAAACTGTGTCCCACTCAAATTTATATGTTGAAGTCCTAACTCCTACTGCCACAAAATGTGACATAATTTGGAAACAGTGTCATTGCAGATGTAATTAGTTAAGATGAAGTCATACTAGAGCAGTGTGGGCCCCGAATCCAATATGACTGGTAACCTTATAAAACGGAGAAATATGGACACAGACAGGCACACAGGGACAACACCATGTCAAGATTGGAGTTATGCTGTCACAAGCCATGGAACTGCCAAAAGCCAGGGGAGAGGCTGGGAAGAGTTCCTTCCCTAGCACCTACAGAGGGAGCATGGCCCTTCTGACACCTTGATCTTGGACTTCTAGCTTCCAGAACTAAGACAATACATTTCTGTTGTTTAAGCCACTCAGTTGTACGATACTTTGTTACAGCAACTAGCTAACCAATACATTGGATTTCTGCAAAGTTTGTTCTTTTTATTACTGAGGAGTATTCTACTGTGTGGATATATGAGAAGGTTTAACCATTCACCCATTGGAGGACGTTTGGATTGTTTTTAGTTTTAGGCTATTACAAATAAAGCTGCTATGAACGCTCATGTACAGGTTTTTGTCTGAACATAAGTCTTTATTCCTCTAGGATAAATTTCCAAGAGAGTGACTGTTGGATCTTAAGGTAAGTGTATGTTTAGTTGATAAGAAACGATGAAACAATTTTCCCATATCATTAATTTTTATGATGCATAGATTCTTCCAGCCTCTGTTAAGCACTCCTTCCTTTTTTAAAGACTGCAGTGGACTCTTAGAGTGAAGGTGGGAGGAGGGGAAGACGGAGTCACAGCTCAAAAACATGCAAATATGATAGAAATATGGCATTCGGATAACTTATGCTGCCAACAATGGCACAACTAAAAAGAGCCACAGTCAGCGTTGGTTATCGGAGTGAAGTCAGCAGTTCAACAGCACTGATTCAATACTTACCGTGTGCCGGGCACCACCCTGGATGCCGGGAAGGCCACACAAACCGGGACAGAGACTCGGTCCTCAAAAGCCTCTTAACCTGGTGTACGAGGCAGACATGTACACAAATAACCTTGGTGTTGTCCAGTATGCGTAAGGGGACAGGGAACTGTGAAACGTTCATAAGCCAAAACGGCAGCTAAACCCCAAATTACAAGCACCGAGGTCTGGACTGTACAAAATGATCTTACTCCCATCTCAATCTCTTCCTACTTAGTCTGTTATTGCCTAAAATAAAGGTAGACAGCTTGGAGATAGGGCTGAGATGAAAATTTAATGCTGTACAAACCAGAAAGTGAACTTCAAGGCTCAGAGTCCCTTTTAGATGGTTCGAGCTCCTGGAAATGGAGCATGACAGTTGCATTAGTCACGAAAACAAGAAGTGTTTTATTGGATTATCTGGATCTTCCGTCAGGTTGAACCCATTCACTCATAAGCACTCTCACGCTCCGGAAGGCTCTTTGCAGGGAACACATTCACCACCTGCCAGTGTTCCTTGTCAATCCGTCACTTTTTTCCTTCCTTGCCCTTCGAAGCAACAAAGCCTGAGGAATTCAGGCCGAGCCTTGATTAAGGGCTTATGGGCAAGTCTGTGGCTTCATCATCTCTTCTGGATGGAGAGCTTTTAAGGCCCAAAAGAGGACTCACCCAGCGTTTAATCTAACAAACAAAGCTTCTTTAAATACAGCGTGTAGACCGCCTTTGTCCTGGCCTGAGAAGAGGAATTTTTATTGACCTAACACATCCCATAAATGTTTTACCCCTTGGTTTGTCTTTTGTAAGTTTTAGCTGAGCACAGGATGATATTTCGTTTTCCAGCATTGATGTCCTCTGCCTTTCTAGTGTTTACATGAGAGATGGGGAGCCCAGGGCTGAATCAAATAGGAGAGCCATTACTGGGTTATTAGTCTGTGAAGACAGATCTCCAAGATCACAAACCAGAAATAGAATAGGACAGAGTCTGTGATTATCTGAATATCCATTTACTTCTGAGATTTCACTGAGCATGGGCACCAGCTGGACTACATTTCTCAGACTTCCCTGCATCTAGGTGTGGTCACATGACCAAGCTCTGGCCAATGGGATGTGAGCAGAAATGATGTGTACAATTTCCGTGGCATGACCTTTAAAAAAAGGAGAGTGCGCTCCTCTGTCGCTATCTTGCCTCATGGAAAGCTGACACGGTAGAGAGCCACTTTGGAGCATGTCCTCAAGAATGATACCTCAGGGATGGTGGAAGAAAACGAGCCAGAGATTCTGGGTCCTCACCTCTGCAGAGCTACCTCCACAACCAACTGCTTATTCTTGGGCAATTTCATGAAAGTGAGATTAACTTCCATCTTTCTTGCTTAAGCCAATGTTATTTTGATCTTGGAAACAGCAGCTGAACTTGTATTCTGCTAATACGTGGAATAAATCCAAGGGAGAGAGCCAATCAAAGTATGAGATGGAAAGAATCAGGAAAACAGAGAAGCAGGAAAGGGTGTGCAATGGGAAAAGCAACAGATGGAGAGTGGCACGATCAAGTGTATAGGATGGCTGTCCAGCCCTGAGCAGGTAGTAGCCACTCAACTAACATGTGTGGATGGGAAGGTCTCTCCTAGCAGTCAATGTCCATCACTCAAATGCAACACCCTCTTCCTTACTTCCTGGCCTTTGCACATGCTTTCCCTTTAACCGGGATCCCCTCCTCACCTCAATCATCCCCAACACTTGGATAAATGCTGCTCATCCTTCAGATTTCTGTCTGAACGTGGCTTTCTTGGGGAGAGACCTTTCCTGGTGAGGCACTCCTCCTCTGTGCTCCCCCCAACACCTCCCCTGCCTGTCCACCTGCCTGCTCATTTTCCTGACTCCCCCTCCAGACTGAGAATTCCAGGAGGGCAGGGACCACACCTGACCATTAGCCGTTGTCCTCCAAGGCTGGCCCCCAGACTACACACAGGTTGCTCACTGACCCTGGGAAGAGTCACAAAGCTGGAAGCAGGCCTTCAAAGCTTGAGATCAGACCAGTGACCTGAGAATTCGGGAGGCTTTGGCCAGAATTAGACTCTCTCTAGCAAACCCCACCTCCTGGGGAAACCCAGCCAAGTGCCCAAATGCCTCTGCCCTTGGGGAAAACAACTGGGGTGTCCCGTCGTCCAGCAGAGGCTGCTACCCATTTGCAACACTGATGAGCCATTTCCTCTCTTAACTTCCCCCTCTTTCGGCTGCAGTTGAGCTGAGGGTTTGTTTTGCTCGCTTCTTTCTCACTTTCCGCCTGGGATTTTACGTTTCCGATTGTCATTCTGCTGTCTAGAGCTGAGCACTGTCGCTCACAGCTCTCCAGCTGCCTCTGTCCCCGCTACCTCTGCTGAGCACCCAGCACCGGCTCCTCCACTCCCGAGACCTGCAGCACCAACTGAACGCTCCTCTCTCATCCAGGCTCCCTTTGCCTGCGACTTCTTCACCTCTGAATAAGGCTCAAATCAGTTCAAGCCACTTCTTCAAAAGCCACACAGATTATTCAAAACAACAATAGCGGAGGAATCCAAGCAGTTAAACTACAAAAATTATCTGGTCTACACAACCCATGGGTCTCTCGCTTCCTTTGACGATCATGCCACGTGACAGGGGAGAGAGCAGAGCAGGCTTGCTGGAAAACATCCCAGTGTCCTCCAGCACCAGGTCGCCCCGCGGCCCATGCTTCTCCCAGGAGCTAGGTGACTCGTCCTGGCTGCCAGCTCACAGGCCTGTCGCCCGCACAGGGCCCAGCCTTCACAAGGACCTGTCCCTGCTTTAACGCTCTGCTCTCATGGTGTTGCATTCTTCAGCACTTTTGAATAAGGGCTCACGTTTCCATTTTGCACTGGGCCCTGCAAAATAGGCAGCTTGCACTGTCCTTTGGGCTCAAGTCTTGGGAGTCACAGTTGCCTTCCCCCAGGCCAGGGTCAGAGCCTCCCAGTATCATAAGGCCCTCGGAATTGCAGACCATCGGAAGCAGAAAGGGTCATGGGATGAGGGTGCTGTAGGACAAAGGTCCATGTTGGATTTGAATCCCACCCTACTGTTTACCACCTGTAGGCTAATTATCCCACACTTCTGAGCCTCAGTTTCCTCTTTGTGAAACAAAGGAAACCATACCTTCCCTCCTAAATTTCTTGGGAGGATCAAAGGAGATAATTTACTAGAACAAGGCACCTGGAAGAGACTAGGGCTTTAAATATTTGAGGCTGGAAAGTGGCCATTTGAGGAATTTCAGACAGTCTCTGTAGTTTATGAGGGGAAAAAAAGTCAATCTGTCCTCGGAACAGACATTCCCTTTGTTTAAGGAGGGACCACAGCACTGAGTCATTTCGGTCCTACTGGTAAGGCCAGTTCCCATCCTAATGTATACCGTTTACAAATGTCCATTGGAGACTTTCCAGATAAATCCTAAAATCAGAAAATTTTTTGTGTAAAACTTGGAACTTCAGTGTCCAATGCCTGAAAAAAATCACTGTATGCTCTTGGGAGATGAGTTTGTTGTTTTGACCAAAAATGAGCTCACAAGCGATCCAGCGCCAGGACCTACCCCGACGAGGAGGGAGGTGCAGGCTTGGCCCCCAGTACTGGGTTGAGGCTGTTGAGTTGCCCCGGCAGGACTGTTTAAACTGAGGAAGCAGACCTGATGAAACCAGAAAGGTCTGTGGTGACTGTGGGTGTGTCAGATGGCAACCTGACAGGTGGGAGTGGGAGTTTCCCCCGGAGGGAAAGGAGGTTCCCACTCCCAGGCTTCCTGCAATTGGGCTGAATCCTGGTGAAGGCGATGAGGTGGCCTTTGGACCGGAAGGGATGAAGCCCTTCCTCTCTCTGAGAATGGCCTGAACTCCTCAGCAGAAATATTCTGAGGGTACCTTTTGGGTCCTCTAGCCTCAGGAAGGCCCAGGAACAGCTATGCAAGCCCAAGCTTAGTGTTTTTGTGAAATTCTGTTGTCCCCAAACATTCAGTAAAGTTACAAGATTTCCATTTTTAAAAAAATCACGTTGTACCACTTAAATATATACAATTTTTAGTTGTCAATTATAACTCAATAAAGCTGGAGAGGGCAGTTATACCATTTCCATCCTCCCTTAGCTATGCTTTGGGGACTGAGGGAAGGAGCTCACATCCATGTCAGGGGTGCAGATATACAAGGGTGAGTGTCAACAGCCTGGAAAACACGATGCTAGAGATGCCAGCTGAGCTCAAGGGGAGCAATAATGCAGAGCAAGGAGGCTGGTAGGGATGACAGGCCACCACCTGGGTAGACTTGTGGAACATACACACAGTCCTCAGGTTCCCAATAACACCCTAGAGAAGAGAACTTCCTTGGAGGGTGGACTTCCTCTATCCTACGAGATGGGGATCTGGATTATTGTTATGTGGCCACAGTTGACCCAACAGGTATAGGAGTTGGCAGGAAAGAGGGGAGGTCAACTGGGTTCTATATGTAAAATTATTTAATCTGACACTTAATGGCTAATACAATAATAATTATTATTATTTTGCAGTTGAAGAAAATACAACCCATAAAGTTGAACCAATTTTCTCATATGTCCATGGTTGCTTTGTTACATCCCCTGACTGGAGAGCCTGCTCTGTCCACAGTTCCAGGAGGAACCGCCCACGGCCTCATGGGACCATTGCCCCTAATCACAGTTGATCTGACCAGGAGCCAACACCTGATCCAAATTAAGCCAATCAAATTCTCTCTCCTCGGTATTTAAAGTTGAGACCAAGTGATCATTGGTCTCGACTGTGTCTGTGAGCTGTGAGGAATCATTGGTCTCAACTGTGTCTGTGAGTGTCGAGTCTGGAATCATTGCCGAGGTCAGCCACAGCCACAGGCAGACAGCTTAAGGGGGAGCGGAAGGTAGGCCCAGCAGGGAAAGTCATACACAGGAGGAGAGTTGAGCTCGGATGTCTGGGATGCTGTGGAAACAGGCTTCCCTGTGTGCCCGGGAGAGGGGGTGCCTTCCCACTTGCTGTGAGGTCAAGCTGAACTTCCTACAGCAGGGGTCCCAGGAGCTGACCCTGAATACTTACAGTAAGGCCGATGTTTTTTATTTGAACTAAATGGAAAGAGCTTTTTTCTCTGCAACGAGCAATCCCTGAGCCAAGTCACCAGAGAGGGCGCAGGCTGCCTGGTGGACCCCCATCCCGGGGTTCTTTCTGTGACACCACAATGTCTGCTTCCTCCTTTGGGATAAGGCAGATTTCTTTAGTATTAAGTAGGTCTGTCCACATATTTTTGTAGTAAAAAAATAAGTTTTCTTATACCCTCACAAAGTTGTGGATGGGACACAATGCCCAGAAATGGCCCAAGTCTCTATCTGAGGATCTAAGTAGGGATAGTCACATGATGCCTGCAAGCCCCTCAGCAGGCAGTGGCCAATGCCAGCTTGGGGACCAAAGGGACCTTTGTCTGTGGCCTGGCAGAGCTCCCTGTTCTGGACCAGGCACTCAGGTTGCAAATCCTGACATCAGGTGATTCCCAGAAAACAGTGAGACTCCAGCCTACGGTGGCCAAGTTCCATGTATTATTTCCCTGCTAGGAAACAAATAACTTGGCAGGCGAAGTCACTGGGGAACTTCCCACCATCAGTGAGAAAGCCGTGACCCGTTCTGTCTGGGGCTCTCTGTACATAATGGTCCACTTAACTTCTCCATTGGCCCATTGTTTTGCTGCTATTTATCTGGGACCCTCAATCAAAGATAAACTTCCTCAAAATAACAACATGAATAATAATAGCTGAGACCCTGTTAGTACCACGCCCTTTGTATACATTCTTGTCGGCCCCCAAAATCGCCATATAAGATAGGCAGCGTCACTGCAGTTTACAGATAGACAAGCTGTGGCTCAGACAGTTATTAACTATTTCACCTGAAGTCACTGGGCTGGTAAGCGACAGAGCTGGAGGTCCACTCCATTCTGCTACTAACAAAAGCCAGCATTTATTGAGTTCATAAACTGTGCTCTGGACACGTTGTCTAAATTCCTTCATTTCCTCTTCACAAGCAACCCTATAATAGTTACACTAATATATCAATATGTATAAGAGAGCTGAATCAGAAGAGGCTAAGTATTGATAATTTGCCCAAATGGACGGTAGAGGTGAGATGTGAACTCGATTCTGCCTGGTCCCCAAATCAGAGGTTCTGCCCAGGGCCCCTCCTAAGTTCTCTTCCGAGCCCTTCTCTGGCAGGGCCTGGCTGGGGCTGGTTGTTGAGGTCCAGCTGAGATGCTAACTGAGGTGTGTGTTGAGGCCTTGTCCCTTCCCCATGTTGCACACAGCATCTCCTCGACTGCACAGCTGCTCTGTAAGGTAGGCAGGTCTCATCCCTGAAGCCCCACCTCCTGAGGCCCAGACAGGTGCTCTGTCAATTCCAAGATGACACAGCAGGTAGGTGGCAGAGCTGGGCCTCGGACATGATCTCTCTCTCCACAGAGCCACGCTGCATCTTTAAGAGATTTGTGACAGGATAATCTGGTGAAAAGAAACAAGTGAAAAAAGGTAGCATTTGAGGCAGGATAACAGGCCACGTGAGAGGAAACGTTCCAACATCGCAAACCCCCTGAGGTTGTTCCACCACAGTCAGCAATCTCAGGGGCCCCGAAAAGAACAGCCTTGTTTCCAGAAACATCTGGTGAAGTTATGGAATCAAGCTACCTTTGTGATTACACAACAGCAGATCCACCATTTCTCATCTACCACCCACCTGAAATGAAGAGGAGAAGACACTTGTCAGTGGGCAGTTTCCCTGGACAACAGACTGAGACTCAGAGGTGCTCTTGTGCGGGAGGCATATTGGGGCAGGCTCCTCCAACCACACCTGGAAGCATAGGGAGGGAAGCGGCACTGGGCTGAGGGAGAGGCTGGGCCACTGCACAGTCACAACAGAGGCCTCTGCTGATCCCATGGGGGCTCTGGAGCCAGGATGGCCCCCGCTGTTGTCCTGAATCCACATAGGGGGCTGAGGTCGTATACCCCGACGTGGACCAGTCATTAAACTCAAGATGCCACAGGGACTAGGCACACAGTCAAACAAGCAGCTCCCTTTGGCCGAGGACGGTTGCTGGCTGGCCGGCAGTCATCCCTGCCAGCAGCTGAGTTAATAAGCACCCCTGTTCTAAAGAGGAATCTGGGGTGCACCATAGCATCCACTATAAATAGACTTTAGGACGTGCCCAGGTGCACACACATGCAGGATTACACACACACACACACCCGGTCCTGCCTGAGTCCCTGCAGCCTCACCCCACCCCCTAAGAATTCCAATTTGCAAGAAAGCACTGTTAGATATCACCCTCTGAAAGGAAAAAAGAGAGACTTAATTCCCCAAAACTGTTGCTGTTTTAAGCGCTAAAGGAAGAAGCATGAAAAAGTCCCCGAAATTTGCACCGGCTTTGGCCTGCCTCACCATTAGGATTATGTTGTTACTCAATTACATAATAGATGGTTGCCTAATTTACCCACGGTATATAGACTTTTTTTAAAAAATCCATTTCCCCCATAAACAAGAGCATAATTTTAACCACCAAACCACTCAAAATCTTAACCCCAAGCCACCTATTTGCATTTTTTCCCGACAGAGCCTACATTTTTATTTCTTTAATTGGACAATTTTGAGCACGAAGCCTGACCACCAGCCGTGCTGGGTGATGACATCCTCCCTCTCCAGCCACATTCACCCCTTCCAGAATTAAAGGAATGTTTAATGGCTTCGGGCCACTTCCAGAGTTAAAAGAACGTTACAAGATTTGGGGCTCAGTCTGTTGGGTCACGAGGGGATACAAACTGAGAGGACAGGCCCCCTGAGCCCCGTCTTGGTTTTCACATCTCAAAAAGTTGCCGAAAATATTAGGGCTCTTAAACTTCCACGTGTTCCCTTACTGGAGTTCTGAGAGCCTCAGAGAAGCTCGGAGAACCATAGGAAAAATGAAAAGAGGACAAAAGACAAATGAGTAGGTGATTTGCTGAAAAATCCTTGAAGTGTCTCTCCAGTTGTATCTTTTCCCAACTCTCTCTTTCTTTTAATTACTTCATCTTACAGAAAAAGGCAACCGTGACTCAAATTTTCCAGGCCCAACATCATCCGTTTCCCTATTAATGCAGATGTGCGTTTCCTAATGAGCACAGGTGGCAGATTTACAGTATAATAGCTTAAAAATCTCTCTACCGGATTCTCTGCTTGTTCACATTTTTTTCTGTTTTGTTTGTTTGCTTTTATTATCGTTGCTATTTTTAATCTTCCAAATTCTCGAAGAATGCGTCTCCAAGGCAAGGTCTTTGGGGGCCTTTAATGCCACGGTAACTCTGCACTTAACTTACAGCCATGGTACCATTCAAGATCAAAGAAGCAAGGCGGGATTAATGGAAAAGAATTGTTGTTTCTTTGTAAGAATTTCTGGATGTTAACCATCTCTGACCGTGTGTCAACTCCTTCCAACTTCATTCATCAATAGACTCTCTTGAAACCTCATGGATCCCCTGGTCTATAATCTTCTTTTGTTTCTGTAATGAGATGAAGGGAAATAACTTCCACTGAAATAAGTTCCAATTAATTATGCCTCTGAGTAAATCTTTTGGATCACGATAAATGGCTCACAGGAGGAAGCACCAACTCTCCTGGAATATGTGTGTGTGTGCTCCCTTTTTGTTTCTTTTAGGAAGTAAGGAAAAATCAAACCAGATTTCAAAACTCAAAAATTGATTTCAGTTAAATATTTTGGAGGATGATCCACGATTTGGAAGATGAGACTGATATAGCCTCAAACCTTCTGGAAACACTCTTTGGGCGTGAGGAACTGGACTCATTTTTTTTCTCCTGTTCAATTTAAATCCTATGAAAGTATCTGAAATTATCTACATATAGAGACTTCTGCTGGGGAGCGTGTTGTGGGGGGGTGAGTAGGGGGCAGGGAAGAAGAGAGTAAGTTTAAACAGAAATTTTGGTTTTTGAAAGCTAAAGTTTTATGATAAGTTTGGATTTTGCAAGGGGAAAGTTAACGTTTGTTTTAAAAGTCATTGGATGGCTTTGGATAAAAGTTTACATGAGTTTCTAAACTGGGATATTATTGGCCCCCAAGTAATAATGTGAAATTTATAGATGTTTTCTATATACAGATAACATATGAAACCGGCATGGGGGCAGGGGTGGCACTCAGCCAGTTGAGTGCTAATTCTCAACCAAAGAGAGGCCAGAATAGAAATAAAAGAGCCCAGGGAACACCTTCATTGAAAAGGAAGGTAGACAAGGAAGAGATGCTGGGACAGGTAACTGAGACAAAATAGCCATCCTTTTAAAAATTCTCTTAAGACGTTTTTTAAAAATTGAAGTATAGTTGACATAGAATATTCTATGTTTCAGGTGTATAATATAGTGGTTCAACATTTATACATTGTGAATTAATCACCTCGGTAAGTCTAGTAACCTGTCACCGTACAAAGTTATTGCAATACTATTGACTATATTCTCTATGCTGTGTATTACATCCTTTTGACTTATTTATTTTTCAATTATGTGGAATCACAAGAAAATTTCTACCTCTTAATCCCCTTTCACCTATTTTGCCCAGCCCTCCACCTTGATCCCCTCTGGAAACCGCCAGTTTGTTCTCTATATTATGCATCTGTTTCTGTCTTGTTTTGTTTGTTTGCTTGCTTGTTTGGGTTTGCTTTTTAGATTCCACATATAAGTGAAAGTCATATAGTATTTGTCTGTCTCTGTCTGACTTATTTCACTTAGCCAAATGCCCTAAGAGTCCATCCATGTTATCACAAATGGCAAGATTTCATTCTTTCTTACGGTTAAGTAATATTCCATTGTGTGTGTGCATGCATGTGTGTGTGTGTGTGTGTGTATATACACATACATACAATATCTTCTTTATCCATTCGTCCATTAATGGACATTTAGGTGGCTTCCATATCTTGGTTGTTGTGAAAAATGTGGCAATGAACACAGGGGTGCGTATATCTTCAAATTAGTATTTTTGCTTTCTTCAGGTAAATACCCAGAAGTGGAGTTGCTGGATCATATGGTAATTCTATTTTTAATTTTTAGAGGAACCTCCAAACTTTTTTCCATAAGTCGCTACACCAATTTGTGTTCCCATCAAGAGTGCACAAGTGTTCCCTTTTCTCCACATCCTCAGCAACACTTGTTGTTTGTTGTCTTTTTTTATAATAGCCATTCTGAAAGGTGTGAGGTGATATCTCATTGTGGTTTTGATTTGCATTTCCCTGATAATTACTAATGTTGAGCATTTTTTCATGTGTCTGTTGGCCATCTCATGGCTTTCTTGAAAAAAATGTCTCTTCAGGTTCTCTGCCCATTTTTTAATCAGATTTTTTTATACTGAGTTGTCTAACTTATTTGTATATTTTGGATATTAATCTCTTATCAGATATATCATTTGCAAATATCCTCTCCCATTTTATAAGTTGCCTTTTTATTTGTTAATGGTTTTCTTTGCTATGCAAAAGTTTTTTAGTTTATTTGGTGGTCCCATTTGTTTATTTTTGCTTTTGTTGCCCTTGCCTGAGGAGACAGATCCAAAAATTTACAGCTAAGACCAATGTCAAAGAGCATACTGCCTATGTTTTCTTCTAGGAGCTTTATGGTTTCAGGTCTTAGATTTAATTCTTTAATCCATTTTGAGTTTATTTTTGTATATGGGGTAGTTTGATTCTTTTACATGTAGCTGTCCAGTTTTCCCAACAACAATTATTGAAGAAGCTGTCTTTTCCCCATTGTGTATTCCTGCCTCCTTTGTCATAGATTAATTGACCATATGTGTACAGGTTTATTTCTGGACTCTCTATTGTGCTCCATTGATTTTTGTGTCTGTTTTTGTGCTAGTACCATACTGTTTTGATTACTGTAGCTTTGTGGTATAGTTTAAAATCAGGGAGCATTATGCCTCAAACTTTGTTCTTTCTCAAGATTGTTTTGGCTATTTGGGATCTTTGCATTTCTATAAAATTTTTAGAACTACTTTGTTCTAGTTCTGTGGAAAATGCCATTGGTATTTTGATAGGGATTGCTATATGGTTGTTCATTGCTTCATTGTTTATAACAGAGAAGAATGGAAACAATCAAAACAAGGGGTTAGTTAAATAAATCATGTTATGCCCACATCACAGAATATGTGGCAGCCATTTAAAATGATATAGAAGAAAATTTAATAACATCAACCTATGCTTACAATATACTGTTAAGTGAACAAAGCAGGTTATAAAGCAGTTTGAACAAAGTGATCCATTTTTGTTTATATATATAATATATTCATACACACACAAAGTCAATGGCAAAAGACTATCAAAATATTAGCAGTGGTTGGGATTATGGGTAAGTTTAATTTTCTTCTTTACGCTTTTCCATATTTTCTAAACTTTCTACAATAAGCAGCTTTTTTTTTTTTCTTTGCAGTACGTGGGCCTCTCACTGCCGTGGCCTCTCCGGTTGTGGAGCACAGGCTCCAGACGCGCAGGTTTAGCGGCCATGGCTCACGGGCCCAGCCGCTCCACGGCATGTGGGATCCTCCCGGACCGGGGCATGAACCCTTGTCCCCTGCATCGGCAGGCAGACCCTCAACCACTGTGCCACCAGGGAAGCCCAAGCAGCTCTTTTATAGAAAAATTGTTTAAAATTTAGGCACAGCAAACTTTCAGTAGATTTAAAAGTAAAAGAGAACCCACTTATCCCTCCTTAGG